GGTCTGGACCGGGCCGGTCGCGCCGCCTGGCGGAGCCTGGGAGGGGGAGGGGCGGCCGTCAGGCGCGAGCCGTCGGTGACGTCCGCTCACCACGTGATGAGCTTGGACTTGAGCTGCCGCGGGATGAAATGTGGCCGTGGGTAACTGCGTGTTTGGCCTTTTCTTTTATTGCCATATAAATGCAGGTATCTCTCCCTTTTCCTTAGAAGCAAGATTTTGGGGGTGTTTTGTGGCACTTTATTCCCACTCTGCTTCAGCAAAACACGAAAGCACGTGTGTTTAGGCATTTACAGCTAATACCATAAATGAAACCCGAAACCGTAGTCACATCTAAATAGGCTTCATTGTCTGGTGCTACAAAGTGGCAATGGCTTATCTTTAACATTTCTTTTGCTTTTAGCATTTGGCATCAACAGCATTTTATATCAGCGTGGCATTTATCCCTCTGAAACCTTTACTCGAGTGCAGAAATACGGACTCACCTTGCTTGTGACCACTGATCCCGAGCTCATGAAGTACCTGAACAATGTGGTGGAGCAACTGAAAGGTATCTAATTACTGGAAACAGTTTTGAGCTTTGCAGGCCTCCTAGAGTCCACACTTTGTAGCATTTTGCCCTTCATTTTTCAACTTTGTACATGGAAGGTGTAAAACAAACTACCCTCTCAAACATAGTGACTCTCATTTGTGAGAAAGCAAATAACATAAATTGATATTAGGAATCTGATACGGTTTAACAAAACTGTCTCCAGCAACTCCCTTAGAAAATGACTTGCAGTTTGTGTGGTCAGGTGGAGCCAGTTGGAATTTTACTTAACTATGATGGTGTTTATTATCTGCAAAAAGAACACTATAAACTCTTAAGATGATGTATTTTCTGTACCTGCATGGAATCTAAAGCCATCATGATTAAAACATGAACTAAAGTTGTATTCAAGGTGGGAACTAAAACTTCAAAAAAAAGAACTACTAAATAATAGAGCGCCCAGCAGAGTTTTCTTATTTTTCACCTTTTTTATAAAAAGTCCAGCCTGAGTTTAAGCCTTTTCTAAACATACCATTCTTTTCTTTAGCTCAAGAAGTTCCTGTATTGTTGGCGCAATACTTGTTTTCCATCTGTTTCTTTTTCCTTCTTCTAGAGTTCCATTAGTTTCATGTTTCTTTCCACTTCGGATTCTCGCTTCCACTTTTTCTGAGTTGTGGGATGTTTCTCCCTACTTTCCCATTTGATGTTCCAAAGTCCTAGTTCCAAATGAGTACTAGTGCTCATTTTTTCAAAATTTTTTAATCCATGAGTCCTATTTTTTTGTTTGTTTCAAGTAGCTTCATTTTAAAAATTACATCGTATTTTTATTAATTTCAGGGCTAAATCACCCAAAGCCCTTCACAGGGCTGCACTCAGATGATTTGGCCTGAAACCTCTGGGCAGCTCCAGAGCTGTGTCTTCACCTTGATCTGATGGGGCAGCGAGACTTGCCTAAGCTGCGTTCTTGACATTCCATCTCACTGCCTGTAGAACTTCTATTTCAGCTAAAACAGGACTTGCTCTTAGAGGTGAATTGTCCAATCTGCTGGAATCCCGCCCCAGTCTTGTGGACTCCACCCTCTTTGTTCTCACTTGTGTTTCTTACTTGTTCTTGTTCTGGTTTGGATCATTTCTAATTTTAAAAGAAAAAAAATCACCGCCTACCCCAAACCTTCACATTACCACCCATTCTCCTCCCTTTCAGAGCTAAAATGATGAAAAGCTGTTGATATATGCCAGGAGTCAGCAAGGCCAAGAGGCCAGTTCCTGCATATGGCCTGTTTTTTATACTGTCTGCAAGCTAAGAACATTTTTACATATATAAATGATTGTTTTAAAAATAATCATTTATATATGTAAAAATGTTCTTAGCTTGCAGACAGAGACCTAGGTGGCCCACAAGCATTAAATATTAACCAAGTTGTTTTCTGTCTTTAAAAAAAAACACTGCTGATTCCTGAATATACTTCCAATTTGCAAGATTAATTCAGGGCTCAATCTCAGTCCCCTTCTCACTATAATCTAGGTGATCGGTGCTGTGCATGGCTTCAGGAACAACCTGTGTAGTTGGCGCAGACTCAGTCTAGCCCAGTCTTCCCCAGTGCCAGGCTCCTGTGGAATGGCTCCTGGATATCCTTGTGCGCCCATCTCAGGTTCTCAGAGTCACATGCAAAGCTAACTTACAGTCACCTCCATTTCGTTTTTCTGTCCTCTCAGTGACTGCATCAGCCATCCAACCAGTGCTACAAGCCAGAAACTGGACGCCACCCTGACTCTTGTACGCTCATGGGTGATCTAGTAACAGTTAACAAGGGCACCTGAGCCTTTACTGCTCCATCTCTACCAGTTTACCCTCCTACAAGCCTTACCACCTCCTGCTTGTGTTACCAGATAGTGTCCTTAGATCCCCTCTAGTCCATTTTCCACGTTGCAGCCAGATAGTTTGAAACACAAATCTGATTACATCGTGCGCTGCCTTAAAGACAGCCATGCCTTTCAGGTTCTTGAAGCAGAATGTCTTGGGTTTGGCCCACACATGGTTGGCCTATTCACCTTGCCGGCCTCGCCTGTTCTCCTTTCTCACCGTTGTAGTGGCCTTTCAGTCTCCTCTGGCCAGATGCTCCTCCCTTTGGAGTTTAAGACCAGTACCCTCTTCCCTATCCTTCTGCTGGTTAATCTGTGGATTCTTAGAGCTAAACTCTAGCCTCCACTGAGTGAGAACTCTGGACAGTTGAGTTTCCCACTTTGTGCTCTCATGGCACTGCGTGGCTCCCCTTCCTAGCAGTTACAACTGTAATCTCATGTTTGTTGGTGCAGTGCTTAGATGAGCGCCAGTCTCCTGCGTCCTCACCTTGTACTGGGATGGGAGGGCTGCATGTTCACTGCACCTCTGTACCCAGTACTCTCCCCACTCCACATACTGAGAATGGAAACAGGCCAGGATATTAATGGGGCAGGTTGGAGGAGCTGCAGAACACTGGTAGGAATCTGCTGGGGAGGAGGTNTTCGGTGCAGGTTGGAGGAGCTGCAGAACACTGGTAGGAATCTGCTGGGGAGGAGGTGGGTCCGAGAGGAGTTACTTTGTGATGCAGCAGAGTGAGCCTGTGCCTTGTGTTGCAGACTGGCTGTACAAGTGTTCAGTGCAGAAGCTGGTGGTAGTCATCTCGAACATTGAGAACGGGGAGGTCCTTGAAAGGTGGCAGTTTGATATTGAGTGTGACAAGACTGCCAAAGATGACAGGTAAGGATGAACTATTTCCACTTTCATATATTTTTTCCAAAACTTGTTTTCTTTACTAAAATGAGTTCTGATTATATTGAACTAGTTTCCTGTAAGGTATAATTTGTTTCTAACATGTTAATTTGATTTTCAATCTCCTGCAGGAAAGAATTTTGCTCACTTTTGAATCTCATTGGTTTGTACAGATACTGTACTTTTAACTAATTCCTTTCATCTGAATTGGTGAATTTCAGACCTTAGTATTTATGGTAGTGTATGTGGGACTTCACCTGATGTACAGGTGGACCACTCGGGGATGTGTTTGAAGGTGCTTTTAACCAGAGGGATTACCCTAGACTCTCCAGCTTACAGTGCAGCTCTGAGACCCTTTATTTGCCACAAATGTCCTGAGACCCTTCCTGAGCTCTGAAGTGTCCTGATCCCAAAGGGGAGCCTGTTGTGAGATGCTGGTGTCTAGTGCTGTCCTGGGTGTGCTTAGCTGTTAGCTCGGCATTTCTCACGGTGAAGTCAGGTTTGCTTATGAAGCCACTGGTCTGCATTAGGAAATGTGTAACTTATAAAGGCCATTTGAGGCAGTAGGGACTTAGGCATTTAGGCATTGATAAAAATGCCAAAATGATTATACCCATTACATATTTTAGATGCCAGTTGCCACTTTTATTTTCAGAGGTGGTGAAGTTTCTCTAACTTTAACCACTTGACAGATGTGCTAAGACCAGCCCTAAAAAGCTGCAGAGGGTAAATGAAATAACAAAGATACATTTGTGCCTACTAGGTTACAGTCCTAAGAATGTAGTGATACTCGTTTAAAAAAACACAAGAAACTTCTTTTTAATGTATTGTTTGATTTTGAAAGCATTTCATCAGATAAATAATCCTATCAGTGTTTGAAATAACTTGTTAAAACTAAAATTGAATGAGTTGGTTTGGTTTCTTTGACAGTGCGCCCAGAGAAAAGTCTCAGAAAGCAATCCAAGACGAGATCCGCTCCGTGATCAGGCAGATCACAGCTACCGTGACCTTTCTGCCACTGCTGGAAGTGTCTTGTAAGCAGCACACACTTTCTCCTGGGCTCACATTTGTTGGGGGAAAGAGTAAGCTGTTGTTTTAAGGATTAACCGTTAATTAATTAATCCTTAGGATATTTTTCCATTGTTTTTCAGAGAGAGTGGGGCGGGGGAGAAATATCGATGTGAAAGAGACACATTGATTGGTTGCCTCCCGCACGTGCCCCGACTGGGGCTGGGGATCAAGCCTGCAACCAAGGTACGTGCCCTTGGCCGTAATCGAACCTGGGACCCTTCAGTCCATGGGCGAATGCTCTTAACCACTCAGCCAAACCAGTTAGGGCCATTATCCCTTTATTAAATCTTTTCTTTTTTGTCAATATGTACTGTAAATGAGGAACAAAACTAAAGCAAAAGTTATGTCATGTGTTCCAGAGAATTTGGAGATGCTGAGGAGGAAAGGAATGAAAGCATTCCCAGTACTCATGAGCATCTGGTGTCTTTCCTTTTGCTGGTCTCATTTTCTGCACATTCTTGTGTACATAATGAAGACTGGAGTTGTGACCCTGTCTGCTTTCCTTGTCGACTCCACTCATTTAATGGTTTCCTCAGTAATAAAGACAAAACTTGAATTTTTCGTAAGATAAAAGGAGTTCAGTATTTCCTGTACTAAAATAAATTTCCATTGAGGAGAAGCAATAACCTGGTGATTAGAGACCAGGCCAAACTCTTTTCTACCACTACAGGTGGTTCAAAATGGGAGACAGGGAAGGTAGTTTTACGAGAACATAATGTACTTTAATGATCTTATCCCCAATTTAGGTTCATTCGATCTGCTGATCTATACGGACAAAGATTTGATTGTACCTGAAAAGTGGGAAGAGTCAGGACCACAGTTCATTACCAATTCTGAGCAGGTCCGTCTGCGTTCCTTCACGACTACAATCCACAAAGTGAACAGCATGGTGGCCTACAAAATCCCTGTCAATGACTGAGATGAGCCGGGAATAGTGGTAGAATTCTTGATGTGTGTTTCCTGAGACCAAGTCAGCCGTAGTTCATGTTCTATTTCATTGATTAATTTTTAGATGGGGAAAACTTAACATTGTACTTTATTGAACTGTGTATATTGTCCATTTTTTGGTACCTGCTTGGCTTTCCATGGGGTTGTCATTTTTTGCCCACTGTCAAAGGGAACCAGCAAATTACATCAGCACTGTAATGTCAGTTCCTTTGAAGGAGGTAACTGGAGATGGAAAACTTTTGCTAAAAAGCTAAATGTTTTCCTAAATCAGACCTTTTGGTTATCAAGTAGCTTGACTCAGTATAGGTAAATGTGAAACAGCAAAAGGAGTCTGAATATTCAGAATTTTTGTTTATTCCTAAAGTAACTGATAATCCACAATCACAAAATATTCCTAGAAGGTCCTTTTGCCGTTTATTTCATTTGTATAGTTTCCGTATTGAAAAAATCTCCAATTCTTTGACTTTAATGTATATAATTTACACTTCCAAAGCTGTCCCTATTTCTCCTGTCTAAATTCTGGTGATACAGAACTTTTAATGTCTTTTTGTGTTTTTTATAAAATCAAGGTTTAAGTGACAATGATAAATAAAGTTAAATGTGTATGTTTTAAATTTGTCTTAAAATATTTTTCCGTTGGTGTGGTGTTACTGCAGTTAAATAGTGGTCAAGATGGACTCCGTACAGTGGTCTCCCCGTCTTCAGTTTGGCTTCTCACGGTTCCAGCTACCCGCAGCCAACCACAAGCTGGAAATATTAAATGGGCAATTCCTGAAGTAAACAATTCATACGATTTATGATTTAGATTGCATGTAGTGTGACGAAACCTTGCGCTGTCTAGCTCTGCCTGGGGATGTGAGTCACCCCTTTGTCTAGTTTCTCCATGCTGTAGATGCTCCCAACCCATCAGTCAGTAGCTGTCTCAGTTATCAGATTGACTATTAAGGTATCGCAGTGCTTGTGTTCAGGTCACCATCATTTTACTCATAATGGCCCCAAAGTAGTGATGCTGGGATTCAGATAATGCCAAGGAGAAACCGTAAAGCGCTCCTCTTAAGTGAAAATGTATGTGTAGGCAAAAACTATACATAGGGTTTGGGACTATGCACGGTTTCAGGTATCCGATGGTGGTCTTAGAACTATCTAATAAGCGGGCGGAGGAGGGTACCATACAGCAAATGATTTCTTATGCCAACCAGGTTGTGGGGCCTAAGAATATAAAGTTGACTAGTCTTGAGATTCCAAGGGAGGGCGATGCCTCTAAGCCTGACCTCTCAGGTTGGCTTACTGTAGCTGGAGGAATGAGACATGTTCCAGGTGAGCCCTTGAAGGACCCTCTGCCCCTGCCACCAGTTGGACAGAGGGATGGAGAAGTCAGGCCTCCGGGAAGGTTTACACTGAGACACGCCCATCTGGACTAACTGGCTTTAGCTGCATAGCAAACAACCATAAAAGATCCACAACAACCCCTTTCCCTGCAAGACTACAGTTCTCACACACATTGGCAGGTCACATGTCTCACCTCCCACGGAGAGAGGGGGCCGTGGGAACTCTGACACTTCCCACACTCCACTGGCAAGGCTTTGCTCAGGGCCGAGCCCGTTTCAGTGGGACAGGGAGCGCTCCCGTGGAGGCGGGAAGGGTGAAATCTGATGAGTGGGGTCTAACAGACCTGGGGTGCACTGCTTCTGTAAAGGGCCTATAATGAAGAGCTGAGGCTCCGCAAGGCACGTGGCCGCCTGGCCTGCTCCGGCCGGTCCCTGTGGGATGGCAGCAGCTCAGACAACAGGAAATGGGTGAGTGTGGCTGCGTTCATAACAGCCAGCGGGGGCTAGCCTGGCTCACGGGCTGTAGCTGCCCGCCTGTGATCGGTCACAGTTCGCTCATTTGGTCACAAGTATTCAACCCCCACCTGGCTCAGAGCATTTGATTTCGGATATTTAAGGCTCACATTTAAGACATCATCTGTAGTCCCCACCCATATGTCTCCATTGGATGTCCTCCCTGAAGCACGGCTGGCTATTCCTTTGAGGGGTCCTCAGGACACCCCCAGTGATTCCCAGCTGAAAACCTGGGAAGGGAGGTTCTGGCGTATGATGCATCGAGAGAGACTCAGACAAGCATAAAGGCTTCATACCTCTGCTTTTTTTTTAAGTACATTTTATTGATTTTGGAGGGGAAGGGAGAGGGATAGAAGCATCGATTAGCTGCCTCTGCATATCCCCTACTGGGGACTGAGCCATGTTTCAGGCATGTGCTCTGACCAGGAATCGCTGGTGACCTCTTGGTTCATGGGTTGATGCTCAACCACTGAACAACACTGGCCGGGCTCCATACCTCTGCTTTTAAACAACATAAACAGAGACCAAATCAACGTTTTTATTATTAGAATACATTCAACTTTCTTAGGTTCATTACCCTCCTATATGTTTTAGAATATGGACCCAAAAATTATTAGCTTAATAATATTGGTGTCCGCCTAGACACACACACACATATATATATCTTCTGTTTTTCATTTTTTTGCTTAGTCTGTAAAATGTATCTTAACTTTTATTATACATTAAAGATCTGGATAGCTACAGCAACCCCACATTGCAACACCTGTATTTTCCACCAGATGTCACTAATGCTGTAATATTCAAATTAGGATTTCTTTTGGCACTAAAGACTATAATCAGCTTTTCTTATTGGAATGTAACATTGGGATTTCTGGCTACAAAAATACAAAGATGTCAGGAGGGAATACAGCATTCGTTATTTTCTAAGCACTTTACACGAATTATTTCACTTAATTCTCATGCTTTTGTGTCTCCAGAACAAATTGGCTTTCCTTTACTGTGCTTTACAGAATTTGACTGCATCTCGCTGGGCTAGTTTGTATTTACACTTTCCTCAGATGACTGACCAATGCATGGAAAGAACCAGAGAAGCAGAGACTTCACCCTACACCTCGCCTGGATTGTTTTAAGGATAAGTCAGGTGTCGGCCGGCGTGGCTCAGCGGTTGAGTATCACCGACCAGTGATCCAGGGGCTTTGGGTCCCGGTGCGGCTCCAGCCCCAGCAGCGGGGGGGTGGAGGCAGCCGACTCCTGACTCTCTCATCACTGTGTTTCTCTCTCTCCCTCTCCCATCCTCCCTCTGAAATCAGTAAAGACATATTTAAAAGAATAAGAGTTTGTGAGCGGTTGCAAAACAGTCGTCCAACTAATTGGGAGAATTGCTACTATTCTTTTTTCTTAATCCTCTCCCGAGGATATCGCTTCTCAGAGAAAGTGGGAGAGAGAGAGAGAGAGAAACATTGATGTGAGAGAGACACAGACATTGGTTGCCTCCCGCAGGAGCCCTGACCAGGGCCGGGGATTGAGCCCCCAACTGAGGTACGTGCCTTTGGCCGGAATCGAATCGAACCCGAGCTCTAATCACTGAGCCAAACCAGCCAGGGCCTCAGTTACTCTTTGGGGAATTAATATTTCGCTTAATGTGTAAACAATTTATTTTTCTCTTTTATTAAATGTACGAAATTACATTTCGAATTATTTTGTTCAGTGTAACCATGATAAAAGTTTGTGCTGGAATACCTATGAAATAGGACCTGTCTACTAAATTTCAAATTGTATTAGTTATATTATCTAAAAACATCTTTAGAGATCTTTCCATTCCTCATGAGTATGGCTTTGAAAGCCAGCAGTGTTAACTGATGCTTATTTTTTAAAAACCTAGTTGGGAAAGCTACTTAATCTCCATTAGAGTTGACAACCCTGTTCCAATCTGGCGAAAACATTGTAGCCCTGGCAACAAAACTATTAGAAAAGGCCCAAAGAGAAAAAAGTCAGCTGACCCTCTGACAGCTTATGTGACCATTTCGCCTATTTTTGTCCTCTTGCCATTTGACCTATTTTTATGCCAGAGAAACACAATGGTTACATTTATTTGTATCAAGTCCGTTTTCTGCTGTGTTTATCTGCACCATTTTGCTACGCAAGCTCGTTTGCACAGAGGAACTGACATCAGATCAAAATCTTTATCGCCTTGGAATTTTATCTGCTGGGAAAGAAAGGCCTCTGAGAATAAGGCGGCCGCCCGCACTCCATTTCCACGCCAGGGGAAGCTCTTCAACAGCCGTCCCCAAGGGGACAGGGACATGAGCTTCTCTCTGAGCGGCGCCTGGCTGACCAGGCGCAGCCGGCGGTCCGAGAGGCCGAGCCTGTGACGGCCAACCCGCTCCACGTCTCAGACACGGTTCTGGGAGCGCCCGTGCGCAGCCACCGGGCCAGCAGGCTCCGTGGGAACTGGCTCAGGTTCAGGCTCCTGGGCCGAGGAAAGGCGCCTGGGGTCCGACCCTCTCTGCGGGTGCTTCTCACCTGTGCCGCCTGCTTCGGGGGCGTTGGGGGGGTGGGGTGGGAGGAAGACTCGGGCCGCAGCCTGCCGTCTTGGAAACTGATGGGACAGCGAAGAGCCAGGAAAGAAAATGATGTGAGTCCCCGTGACTGGAGGAAGGAACAGCCCAAACCTCAGTCCGGGGCCCTGAGAGCAGAGAGCGGAGGGAGAAAAGCCTTCACTCAAAATGTGGGTTCACAGCTCATCTGCTACACAGTGAGGCCCAGAGGACGACGACGGAGAAACGTTTCCTCGGGAGCGACCACCCTTCAGAGGCGCTTTAGCTCAGTCTGTGGCAGAGAGGGGCTCGGGCATCCGGTCAGTTCCTGGGACGCACTGTCTCAGCCCCCACAACAGCCCTGTGAGGCTGTTGGCCCCACTTTACAGGCGTAAACACAGATTCGGGAAGGTTAGGAAATCTGCCCAACTTCACGCGCCCAGAGTGCTCCCCCAGCCCGACTCAAGGCCAGCCTTTGTCCCCCTGAATCTTGTCCCCTTGCCCCCTACAGACCAGCCTGGAGAGGGGCCCGGCTCCAGGGTGCAGGCTCAGCCAGGAAGACTAGAGTGACACGGGCACCTAACCCCGGGTAGGAAGGGAGAACGTGTTGCCACAACAGTTGAGTGTCAAGTTGCATGAACTTTTTAGAAAACACTTGCTCATAACAAGCTGTCATTAGCTGCTTATACACCCGAGTATCCTGCCGCACAACAGGCGGGGGTCATTGTCTCACACCGACATTGTCTCCCTCATTCTTTCGCCTGTTTGTCTTAACTAGTTTCGGAAATAGGCACAGGAACCGGAAGACTGGAGTGTGTGCATCATCGTTTGAATTACAGGGTCCCTAGTAAGTCTGGGTGCAGGCATGAGGCTGAGAATGAAAGCGGAAGTGAGGTTTGCGACAGCTTCCCAGATGAACTGCGGGTGGCCAGAGACACGCCCCACTCCCCACTCAGCCCAACTCCAGCCACGGAGCGAGCCCCCTGCACCAAGCAAGGTCCTGGCCGGCTGAGGGCGCCCTCCTCCCACCTGGGAGGGAGGGAGAGACAAGGTGCAGGGGGCCCAGAATGTTTCCCCAGCACGCTTTCCGTCATCAGGATTAAAATGGAAACCTGAAGAGGGGAGCAAAGGCGCCTCCCATGTCCACCAGCTTTAAATCTTTCATATATGACACTGTGTCCCAATGGTAGCATGTGAGTAGGGAGCTTTAAAAATTGTTATGAAATTATGTAATGT